AGAAAGAAATGCAGTCACAGGGCGGCCAGGCGTGAGAGGGTTTGCTCAGGTGGGAGCCTTGAAGAGAGCAGCTGGGATGCTCAGCTTGTCTCTCACAGGCCTGTGCCTGTCTTCCTGCCTCTCTTCTGCCCACAGTTCTGAACACCTTGGGCAGAAAGAGACAGCGCTAAGATGAAAAGTACAGGTAGGCTGGGCTGCGTTTACCTTCTTCACTGCTCTGTATCCAGCTCCCAGGTCAGGGCCCGGACTCTAACAGATCCTTAATTAATACCTACCGAATGGAGGCACAGTTAGTTGAACTGATCCTAGAACATGATTTTTAAATGTCTGCTTATATTGTCCCTGAAAATCTGTTTGAGTTGATGGGCACACATGACTGGAGGCCAGGATTTTCCAGAATAAGTCTTCTTTTAACTTTTGAAGAAACCTGGGCGGCAATGGTTCCATGATCAAGGAGCTTCATACCCACACTGCAAACACCACTGAGGTTTCGTGTGCTTGATTTAAACGTTTCTTCTCTTGGTGTGTTTAAAATTTGGGGAAATTGCGCACCACTCTGCACTTAAATTGAAGGAAGGAGAGATTATAAATATACAGCACCCAGCGTAATGACAGAGACACAGTCTGAAGAAGATGCACTATTAGGTGATTCTGTAGAGCTAAGTTTATACAATCAAGATGGCCAAGTGCAGGCTCTATTACTGTTTGACGCTGTCTTGAGGGACCAGGTCATATATGCAGTCTGTCATCAATCAAAGCATTATTATGTGGTGCGGGGCTGCATTTTACTTATGTTTGTGTCATGTGTCCTTTATCGGGCTCCCCACAATGGCCCCCAAGCAAGGAGGGCAGAGAATAGTAGCTGAGATGTCTAGCGTAGGAAACTGAGGCCGATGCAGAGAGAACTCTTTCTGTGGCCCACAGAACAAGTCTGTTGCACCATGAGCTCAAACCCAAGTCCTACCCCGTGTACCGGTAGCTGTGATCAAACACCTAAAGGCAGCCACTTGAAGAAGGAAAGGTTAGCTTGGCTCAGAGTTTAAAAGGATAGCCCGGTGGGAAAGAAGACACGGCCGCGAAGCAGCTGGAAGCCCTGGCAGGGAGAGCTTGCTCACATCTGGTCAGACCAGGGATCGGAGAATGGGGAGGGACTGCCGTAGCTCGTTTGCTTTCTCCTTCCCTGTATGAGTCAGTCTGGGCTCCAGGCCATGGGGCAGAGCTACACACACTCAGGGTGAGTCCTCCCTCTTCAGGTTTGCCTCCCTGAAGACACCTGCACAGACAAGCCTGAAGTTGTGTCTCATTAGTGACCTGCGGGATTCTTAGCCCATTAACCCAACCGAGCCGACTACAGAACTTAGTCATCACACCCTAGGTGACACAAGGGATATTTTAGGCAAATGCATGGCTCTTAAATCAGAAATATGCAGCCTTCTCCACGAGCACAACTTTTCCAGACCTGGGCACGGGTGTCCTAGAAAATATCGCTCTGCTTCTAATACATCACAGGGCCCTCTGCTATACGAAGGCATAGAGTGTATTTAAAAATAGGAAGGAAACTGCAGAAAATCAGCAGAGCTAAGGGTAGAACACACTTCCCAAGTGCCTTGGACAGGACTCATTCTCATGGCGCTGCCATAGCCCTGCTCAGCATGTGTGGCTGGGAGAACTCACCAAACACTTCAGTTGGAAGCCAATGTGGGTTACCACAGCTGAGTTCCCAGGGGTGCAGGGTCTTTGGGGTCACCAGCATAGTCTGCCAGCTCTAGGAATCTCTGGTCAGATGTTTGGCACAAAGACTCACCCAGGGGGCAGAACAAAATCCTGCACAGCCCTCTATAAAGATAGCCCAAGCAATTCCCTTTGTATTTCATTCATCTTTGCAGCTACCGCATGTAAGAGCAGGGAGCAGGTGGCTTTGTGCAGAGGAGGAAATGGCCAATGGATGTGGGAGACAAATGGCCCTTCAAGTGGATGACATTTTAAAGGTTACCTTGAAATTGCTTCGGCCACCCAGGTGGCTGTCACAGGATTCCTCAAGATGGACAGTATTGCCATAGTTGGCCAGTGGTTCAGTTGGTTCCATGCTCTATGTCACGGATATTTTGCTCTTGTTCCCACTCATCTCTTGTCTTGTGAGTCCTGCCAGAAGAATTCAGATAAGACACAGAGAACATAGTTAGAAGACAGAGTTTATTTCAGAGTGGCACGGGACACCCTCAGGGGGGTGAGAATGTCCCCAAGAGAACATTGTGTCCGTTTACATTTTAGACAGCCCACACTATGTCCAGTGGCCCCAAAATAGACAGCTGTTTTGGTTTCATCTCTTTCGGTTTGCTAAAATACCCTGACCAAAAGCAACTTATGAGAGGAAAGGGTTCATGTGGCTTATATAACCCCCCAGGTTACCTCCCATCACTGAGGGAAGTCAGGGCAGGAACTAGGAGCAGAAGCTTGACTGCTAGCTCACTCTGACTTGCTCCCTCGCTTGTTGTTCATCTATCTAGCTTTCTTATACAGCTCAGCCCCACCTGCCTAGGGACAGTGCCGCTCACAGTGGCCCATGCTCTGCCACGTCAATCATCAGCCAAGGCAATCTCTCATAGACATGGCCACAAGCCGATCTGATGTACGCAGTCTCTCAACTGAGACTCCCCACCGGTGACTCTAGATTGTGTCAAGTTAACAGCTGAAGCTAGGACAACAGCTTCCCTAAGGGGTGTTTTCTGGTCCAGAGGATTGATGGGCCAATTTGACTGGGAGTAGCAAGAGTAGGCATTGGTATGTGTGGAATGCATACTGCTGACCTGGAACCAGCTTTAAAGTTATAAACAAATGTCCTCAGGCAGTTCAGGAAGTCCCATCCAAGAACCAGATTTGACTCAGGTCCCTTTCCTCTGACCAATAGCGAGAGTCCTACAGTTCCTGTCCTGGTCTTCACAGGACATTGGTTGTAAAGAAGGGGTCCAGTCCTCATGTCCACCAAGCCTGCTAATTTCTAATTGGCTGTCTACCGGTTTCTAGAACGCTCACCAAAATGGTTTCCAAACGTTTCCTAAAGTCCCCAAACTAGTGTTACGGAAGTTCCCACAAGGGACCGTGCCCAAATGGATTCCAAAGAGAGACTTACCAAACCCCAGGGTGAGCTATCCAGACTGGGTGCTTGGATTCGAGCCTGCAAGAGAACAATTTTACTGGCCCAGGTCACAGAGTGGTCAAGACGCTTTATTGCTCAGCCAGTGCAACGAAGAAAACGGAGGCCTAAGAGAAATGTCAGGTTCAGAGCTCAGAGAAAATTCTGGACGCAGCAATCTCTTAGCTAAAGCTCGAGTCATAGAACATCATCATGTCGTCAGGGTTCAGCCTCTGGGGGTACAGCAATATAAAGTCAGATTCCAGAACTAAACTGGTCGCATGCTGCTTCCAGCATCCTTTCCTCAACTGAGAAATGGAAACACTAGCTCAGTACAGTGGCAAACCCCAGCAATACCAAAGCCACAGCAGCAGCAGGAAGACCAGGGTTGGAGGACAGCCTGGGCTACATAGTAGCTTCCCCACCAACCTGAAACTGTCTCAAAAACAAAGAATAAGCAAACAAAGACTTTTGCAACAACAAAAGAAAAATGGACAGATAATATATAACCATTTAATTACTTGTGATAAGAATAAACAAGCAAATGGAGGAACATTTCTTAGCTCAACTTCTGCCCCTGAGTAAGCTATTCTCAGTAATCAGAGGGGCTCACAACCTCCCCTATCTTTATCAGAGTTTCAAAGCATTTTAGACGAGCTTGAGTAGAATGTTAGGAAGGCAATGGATGGAATATTCCAGGTGTCCGTGTGTCTCTTTGAAGTGTGGCATGCCCTCTAAAACGCAGTCCTTTTGAAAGTCTCGGGGCATGAACATGTAATCCATCTCAATTTCTCAGGACTAACTAGATCAGATAGTTCAAGGGTGACTCTACACAGTGGTTTGTCATTTTAATAAGTACTCAGACGACCAGACTCCCCATCCAGACAGCGGGAGGGACCGCTCAGGGAAACAGGCATATGCCGCCTTCTCCTTTCCATCAGATGCTAAAGGATCCCAAATGATAAAGGAGGAAGGCAATGGCTTGTGGAGGGAAGCACAGGCTTGGGGCCAGGTGGGCAGGAATCCCAAAATTGACCTTCATACCCTCTTCCCCTGCTTTCATGTTTATCTTTCCTTTCTGCATGCAGCAGTGCTTTTGAACCGGTCTGGGCCAGGCGATCTATCCCGGTTTTGTATTTGGAATGTAGCAAGGAACACACAGACACAGATCCTTGCACTTGAGGACCTTGTATCCTAACAAAATACTAGAAATCCTCATGAAGGGATGGAGGAATGGCTCAGTGGCTAAGAGCACTTGCTGCTCTTGCAGAGGGCCTGGGTTCAGATACACTTACACGGCAGCTCACAACTGTCTGCAACTCCATTCCCAGAGGGTCCAATGTCTTTGCTGGCTCTGCAGGCACCCGGCAGGCACACAGGGCACATACACACACAGGCAAAACATGCATACATATTTTTAAAAACTAAACATCTTTTTAATGCACTCTACGCAGTGTATAATGGGGATTGCAGTCACTAACTCCAACAGGCTATGATCTTAATCACAAGTGACAGTGCATGAAGCATATGAAGGTTTAATAAACTGTGGCAATTATTATTTTTCCAATTGCTCTCAGATTTCTCCAAATACCTTAAACACTTCATGTGTGACCAACCCCCAGTTTTTTCCATTCAACAAACTCCTGAGCATGTGCCACATCCTAGATTCTCCGGGGGCACCAGGGATACAAAGAAATGCTGTAAGAGTACCTGATCCCAGCCCTTGAGAATTTCAGAGTCTGGGACACTGTGCCCTAGAAGAGACACACTTGAGAATCCCCAGAAGGGAGCAGCCTCCCGTTCCAGGTCTGTACTCAGAACAGGCCACTTCACTAATGATGGTGTCATTTAACTCGTTGTATCTCAGCTATGGCTGGCGATTCTAGGAACGCTACGAACAAAGACATGGAGATAGGAGTCACTTCCCAAGACCACAAGAAGATTCCCAAGCAGGCACGGGAATACACCCCTATCGCCACCGACCGCACTCGCCTGCTGGCGGAAGGCAAGAAGCCGCGCCAACGCTACATGGAGAAGAGTGGCAAGTGCAACGTGCACCACGGTAATGTTCAGGAGACCTACCGCTACCTCAGTGACCTCTTCACCACCCTGGTGGACCTCAAATGGCGCTTCAACCTTCTGGTCTTCACCATGGTCTACACCGTCACGTGGCTGTTCTTTGGCTTCATTTGGTGGCTCATTGCTTACGTCCGAGGTGATCTGGACCATGTGGGGGACCAAGAGTGGATCCCTTGTGTTGAAAACCTCAGTGGGTTCGTGTCTGCCTTCCTGTTCTCCATTGAGACAGAAACAACCATTGGGTATGGCTTCCGCGTCATCACCGAGAAGTGCCCGGAGGGGATCATACTGCTTCTGGTGCAGGCCATTCTGGGCTCTATCGTTAATGCCTTCATGGTGGGTTGCATGTTTGTGAAGATCAGCCAGCCAAAGAAGAGAGCAGAGACCCTCATGTTTTCCAACAATGCCGTCATCTCCATGCGGGATGAGAAGCTGTGCCTCATGTTCCGGGTAGGTGACCTCCGAAACTCCCACATAGTGGAGGCCTCCATCCGTGCCAAGCTTATCAAATCCCGGCAGACCAAAGAAGGGGAATTCATCCCCTTGAACCAGACCGACATTAATGTGGGCTTTGACACGGGGGATGACCGTCTCTTCCTGGTGTCCCCGCTCATCATCTCCCATGAGATCAATGAGAAGAGCCCTTTCTGGGAGATGTCACGTGCTCAGCTGGAACAGGAAGAGTTTGAAGTCGTGGTCATCCTAGAAGGAATGGTGGAAGCAACAGGTAAGACATTTTGCCCTCCTCAGTCACCTGATCCTCTTCCTGCCCCCTGGAGCATAGACAGCCGTGGCCCTAGAATGTCCACATTCGTGTGTAAGAATACCAAAATGACAATGAGGGACACCCTGCTCCATCCCCAATGTGACCAAGGGGCAGTTACCCAAGACAGAGCACTAACAATAGCTAACACAGACTGAACTCTCCAGCTTCTCGGCATGATCCTAGACTTTAAACATGTATTACAGCATACCTGTACCTCCATAGGGAGGATCCAGGATCTAGAAACAGATGCACAAATATGAGCAAGCAAGCACCATGAAAGCAGCAGGACCCCAGAGCCAGCCCGCATTTTCAATAGGTCAAAGTGCTTATTGCCCTAAAAAAGGCATGGGGTGATTGGGAAGCCTGGGCTGACTAAAAGAGGTGGTGTTTTAGAGTGAGACGTCATGGCCCTAGCGTAGCCCCTTCAATCTCTCTAATGCTGTGACCCTTTAATACAGTTCCTTGTGCTGTAGCTACCCCCAATCATAAAATTAATTCACCGCTACTTCCTAACTGTACTTTTGCTACCTTTATGAATCATGATGTAAATAACTGATAAGCAGGATATCCCACATGTGGCCCAGGTTGATGTCACTGCTGTACATGAGGGCCTCCTCATTAGGAGAGGATGCTGTTGTTTTTCTGTTTCGGTGATGGAATATCAACAGAATATGACTTAGAGCAACTAGGAAAGGAAACACTTTATTCATCTTCTAGGTCACAGTCCATCATTCAAGGAACTCCATGGGGGGGGGGATTAAAGCAGAAACCATGAGGGAAGACTGCTTCCTGGCTTGCTCTCTCTTGCTTGCTCAACTTGCATTCTTATATAGCACAGGTCCACTTGCCTAGGGATAGTATCACCCATGGCGGGCTGGATCGCTCCACAGCAACCATCAATCAAAATAACCTCCCCCCAAATACACACATTCCCACAGGTCCATCTGATGGAACCAACTGAGAGTCCCTCTTCCTAGGTGATTCTGGTTTGTGGTGATAACAAAAGTGAACCAGTGTAGATGCTACCCAGCATGCAGCCTTTCCCAAGTTCATGAGTATTTTGCACATCCCCCTTTTTAAAGAGCATCTATGCTACAGATCTGGGAGAGATGCTCTCCCAGCTGTCCTCTCTCAGGAGCAACCTGTCCCCTAGCTTTCCTCCTGCCGAGGCAGATCTTTCTGAAGGTGACCCAGTGAGACCAAGGTCTAAGAGGACCCGAGCTCTACGTAAGAGCCACAGGCATCACCTTCATGGTTGGACCTTCTGCTTCTTGGGAAGGAATGCCCACCAGCCAAATGCTGTGTTTGTCTTCCTTCATCTTCCTTCTCTTTAATTCACCATTAGACTGAGCAGCGTGCTAACCCCAGTGACAGTTTGTCCAAAACTCCCCCGTGCTCAGAATAACACTTCAAAACCTTGCAAATAGTGTTTATGTGCTTCTCTCCCCCTTTTACAGAGATGGATGCTGAACTGCAAAAGGGCCAGGCAGACATTAAGTGTGCATATTTGGGGCTTTCATTTACAAGTCTCCAGCCTCTTCTACACGCCACACTGGTCTTCAAGAACGTTAGAGGCGTGTTAAAGGCGGCCAGGTATACCCGGCAGCCCTTGAGAATCTGACAACTGGCTGGGAGACTCAGACAAGCCTTTCCGTTTCCAGCTCGGAGTCAGGCGGGGTGATAGCAGGCCCTAGAGACTATGCCTAAGGCTGCCTGGCCATCTGCTGGGGGGCCGGAGCCTAGCCAGGAAGCATATGGTGGCAGCTGGAGGAGTCCCTGGGGCTGAGGGCAGTCAGGAAGCAGGAAGCTGATTCGTGTAGATGGAGACTCTAGGGTCATTGTGTCCTTGGTAACAGGGTCAGGCTAGAACAAAGGAGCACTTTCTGGGGAAGAAGCTCCTCTCTGAGGTCCTGAAGGAGGGATGGGGCAGAGGCAAAGTCTCATCGTCTCTTGGTGATGCCCTCACTGTCGCCAGTGTGCAGCAGAAGAGCATGCCCAGACCACGAGAAGAGGAGTGGATGCTGATCCTGTTTGCCCACCCCTCCTCCCACATGTCCCTGAAAGCCCTGGTCTATACGGTCCTGTCCTAACTGCTTGACATCCCCTCCCATAAACTATGATAGCTAATCTTTGTTCTCTGTCTGTGGGAGGCTGAGACCACCTACTCACAAACGGCATGAGTTGTTTTGTTTCCTTGTCATGTTCATGAAACCCAGCATTGGTGTTAATTCAGGCCTAGGCTAAGTAACTCTTCCACACCCTTCCTATGTGCGTCTGGGCAAGATGCTTGAGCTTGTCTGCAAAGCAGGAGATTTAACCTGGTGGGAAGACTGAAGGGCCAGATGGAGTGCCACAGGTGGAACACGGAGCTGATATGTGCCACGGAAGGGAACAGATCCTGTGCTAGGGTCTTTTCAGAGTCTCTGGGAGCCTGCAGGCACTGGGCCTTGGGCTAGATTGGTTGGTATCCAGCTTGGGTGTTTCTGCCTCTACTGGGCTGACTGGTATACACCCTGACTGGAGAGGCCTGGCTGGGGCAGGCATCACCCTGAAATCAAGGAGTAGGCTAGAAGCCCACTACGTATGGGATGCTTTGGGGAGCCCAGGCACAGATAACGGGAAGCAGCTTTTGGCCTATGACCCATCCCCCAGAGAAAGCCCAGAGTAGGAACTGGAGAAGACTCCCCTTCAGTGTCAGAAGAGCACAAGCCAATTCTTCCTTGGGCAGAGATTAAATAAGATTTTGCTTTTCTGTGACCCTAAGCACAGAGGTTTCCTCATCCATAAACAAAACTGCCCTCCCTCTCTGGAGAGGAAGCAACACCTAAAAATAACACAGCCATGGCAGAGCAGCAGAGAGAGACACCAGAGACACCAGAGCATCCGCAAATCAGAAGCCAGGCTGGGTGTTAGCTTGCTTTCCCTTACTGTGCACACATGCATGTCTGTGTATGGATACACGTACATGTATGTGTTCATGCGTGTGCAGGCTTCAGTGTGTATGTCCCCTCAGAACTATTTCTCTATGCTCTGAATGCCTGTCAGCAGCTCTCTGGTCCCTCACTCTGAACTTTCTTTGCTTAAACCCTTGTCCTTCCTTTTTTTTAGTCAGTCTCTTCTAATCCTAGATACTGCTTTCAAAAATGTGTCCTTGTCTCCAACTATTTCATTTCCCCCTTTAGCATCTAGAAATGTGTTCCAGAATCTTGCAAGTCCATTTGTCATTTTCTTCATTGTAGTTTGATCTCCTCCACCACAAGGACCATCACATATTAAGCCTCATCTTCTAGATCCTGGGCACAAAGTAGAGATTCAAAAGGTGCTTGAAAAATGATTGGCGGAGTAGGTAGTTAGATAGATGGACGATTTAATGAATGGGTGGCTGGATAGATGAATGACTGGAGGAGTGAATGCTGGGTAGATGGATGACTGGAGGAATGAATGGTTGGGTAGATGTATGATTTGATGAATGGGTGGTTAGATAGATGGATGATTGGAGGAATGAATGGCTGGGTAGATGGATGACTGGAGGAATGAATGGTTGGGTAGATGGATGACTAGAGGAATGAATGACTGGATAGGTGAATGATTGGAGGAATGAATGTCTGGATAGGTGGATGACTGGAGGAATGAATGGCTGGATAGGTGGATGACTGGAGGAATGAATGGCTGGGTAGATGGATGACTGGAGGAATGAATGTCTGGATAGGTGGATGACTGGAGGAATGAATGGTTGGATAGATGGATGACTGGAGGAATGAATGGCTGGGTAGATGGATGACTGGAGGAATGAATGGTTGGGTAGATGGATGATTTGATGAATGGGTGGTTAGATAGATGGATGATTGGAGGAATGAATGGCTGGATACGTGGATGACTGGAGGAATGAATGGCTGGGTAGATGGATGACTGGAGGAATGAATGGCTGGGTAGATGGATGACTGGAGGAATGAATGGCTAGGTAGATGGATGACTGGAGGAATGAATGGCTAGGTAGATGGATGACTGGAGGAATGAATGGCTAGGTAGATGGATGACTGGAAGAATGAATGGTTGGGTAGATGGATGACTGGAGGAATGAATGGTTGGGTAGATGGATGACTGGAGGAATGAATGGCTGGGTAGATGGATGACTGGAGGAATGAATGGTTGGGTAGATGTATGATCTGATGAATGGGTGGTTAGACAGATGGATGATTGGAGGAATGAATGGCTGGATAGGTGGATGATTGAAGGAATGAATGTCTGGATAGGTGGATGACTGGAGGAATGAATGGCTGGGTAGATGGATGACTGGAGGAATGAATGTCTGGATAGGTGGATGACTGGAGGAATGAATGGTTGGGTAGATGGATGACTGGAGGAATGAATGGTTGGGTAGATGGATGACTGGAAGAATGAATGGCTGGGTAGATGGATGACTGGAGGAATGAATGGTTGGGTAGATGTATGATCTGATGAATGGGTGGTTAGACAGATGGATGATTGGAGGAATGAATGGCTGGATAGGTGGATGGTTGGATAAATGGATGGTTGGATAGATGAATGATTGGGTAAATAGCTGATTAGATGAATGGGTGGTATATTAGTTACTTTTCTATTGCCATGAAGAAACACCATGACCAAGGCAATTTATAAAGAAAACATTTAATAGGATTTCTTGCTTACAGTTTCAGAGGGGTTAGTCCATATTCATCATGGCGGGAAGCATGATGACTGGCAGGCCAACAGGTAGTCATGGTATTGGAGCAGCAGATGAGAACTTACAACTTATCCACAGGCAGCAGGCAGAGAAAGAGAGTGAAAGTGTGTGTGTGGGGGGAGGGGGGGGAAGACACAGAGAGAGAGAGACAGAGACAGAGGAACTGGGCCTGACACAGGCTTTTGAAACCTCAATTCCAAGCCCCAGAAACACAACCCTCCAACAAAGCCACACCTCCCAATCCTTCCTAAATAGTCTACTAACCAGTAACCAAACGTTCAAATACATGAGTCTATGGGGGCCATTCTCATTCCAATCCACCACAGATGGATAAATGATTAATAGCTGGCAATGGGTTTGAGTGGATGGATAGACAAATAATGAATGGATAGTTACATGGATGGAGAGTGATGGATGATGGATGGAGAAATGGATGTGAAGGGGGTGGATGATGGATGCATGGATCGATAAATGGATGCATCTTAATGCACATGGCTTCTGTCTCCCCAGGCATGACTTGCCAAGCACGAAGCTCCTACATGGATACCGAGGTGCTCTGGGGTCACCGGTTCACTCCCGTCCTCACCTTGGAGAAAGGCTTTTATGAGGTGGACTACAACACCTTCCATGACACCTATGAGACCAACACACCCAGCTGCTGTGCCAAGGAGCTGGCAGAGATGAAGCGGAATGGTCGGCTCCTCCAGTACCTTCCCAGCCCTCCCTTGCTTGGGGGGTGTGCTGAGGCTGGGAGAGATGTGAAGGCTGAGCAGGATGGAGAGGATGAGCCCAATGGTCTGAGTGTGTCCCGGGCCACCAGGGGCTCAATGTGAAGTCTGTGTTCTATCCAGAGCCTCTTCTTGCCAGACACCGAGGAGCCTAGGAGGCCGGAGAGGCCAATTAGTTGGGCAAGCCTTGCAGGGGCCCCAGGAGCGTGGGAGCTCTAGGGAGAGGAACAGTGTTTTGAGACCTCACATCTCTTCAGGGCCTCTGAGCGAGCGGCCTTGCCCGGCCCTCTCAGGTAGTGCTTTCTAGGCCTCAGCGAATGAGAGCATTAGCAAAGAGGCTGTAGCTGGGGCGGGGTTCCCAGAATGAGTTCTAGGGTGTCCTCTTCCCTCTCTCTGATTTCTGTCACCTGTTCACTTCCCTCCCTGATTTGGTCTCCTCTAGGGACCGACAGGATCACCCCTGACTCTTACCACTGAGGCCTGTGGATTGAGGGAGGTCAGGTCTTGTCCATGGATGCTCGCCCACAGCTAGGGATGAGTTCACAGAGACCTCCCAGGCTAAAGCTACCCAAGTCAGGGACAATGCCTTTGAGTCTGAGGCCCAAACCACTTACTAATGACTTCTTTGCAAGGCTCCCTTCTCACCATTACTCCCCACCGCGTGTATGTTTTCTCTTCCATGTTGTGTGAACACTGCGGCTTACAGGGTAATTGAGTTCATTCGAGTGTCCCTGGGACACTGAGTCCCTAGGAGCACACACAATGTTGTCCTCACAACTGCCTGCTACTCCTAGTCATACTGTGCCTTGCACTTCAAGGAGAACCCAACAGCTGTGCTTTTTTGTAGGACTTTTTGGTCCGAGAACTTCAAAGAACCTGTAATATTGTCCTGACATGTGAATTTCAGAGCGCCGGATGAACTAATTGGTACTAACACAGAGAAAGCAGTGAGGAAAGGGGAGCAAGGAAAATTTTCATATAAGCATCTGGAGCCTGGTGTACTTGATGCATGGCTATAATGCTAACCCTTGGCAGGCTCAGGCAGAATGGGGAATCTGAGGCCAGCAAGGGCTGTATGGGCCTGTCTCAAAAAAGCAAAAGACGCACTAACAAACAAGAAGACATCTGCCTCAGTTGTCGCATGGGGGTTCCTAGGAGAAAAGTGGAATGTGAAACAGAAGTGACAGGTGGCCAAGGATGGACCAAAGTCTGAGGCTGGTAGTGAGATGCCTCTGGATCGCCCTCATAAAGAACAGCTCTAACACAGTGGCGGGACCTGGAAGGCAGGCCCGAGAGCAGGAGGTGAGAGAGTTGGTAGAAGAAGTAGGGAAAGGAAAGCCAAACGGTGGAGAAGGGCCCTGAGGTCAACAGCCTCGGAGACTCTTCCAGTCTGGAGGGCTAATGGCCAGATCAAAGAATCTTATGTAGAAAAAGAGAAGCTGGGCCTGATCTTGGAAAGATGCCCACATGCTCCCCACACCTCCACCCCAGTATTCAGAGTTCTCAACCAGCTTTGAAAATAGAAGTACTTCCCTGCCACGCCCTGGAGCACTTGGCCTGGGAGCTACAGGAAGAAGCTAAGGTAGTCAAGGGAATGGCTTCTGGACCTCAGACTTAGTTCCCAGGGCCCTGGGTTGGTGAGCGAAAGTGGCCTTGGAGGAATAGTTACACTTGTAAACTGCCCACACATGCAACAGGGATCCCTTACTTGGCACCTGGACTAAATCTTGAGAGATGGTCTAGGCCCTGAGTGGTGTGTGCATTTGTGTACATGTGTGTGGTATGTATATGGTGGCGTGTGTGTGTGTGTGGTGTGGGGATGGTGGGATGTTGGGATGTGGAGGGTGTGGTGTATGCATGTCTGTGAGTGTGTGGTGTGTATATGGTGGGGTATGTGTGCGTACACACACGTGTGTGTGTATGTATGTGTGGTGCTGAGGTCCCACAGTGATAAGGTGCCAGTTATGGTCTCAAGCATCTTTCTATAGTGAAGCAGGTCTAGCAGGGAATGGGGAATGAGCTACCACCCCCACTCAGGAGAGAAAACCAGCAGGTCCACAGCACCCAGTAGGTAAGCTGCATTAGGAGTCTAAGGAGGGAGCCTGCTGCTAAGACTAGATGTCTGGGAAGGAGCTATAACAACTTCAGAAGAGACAGGCATTTGGCTTGGCTTTCCAGACCCCAGGCCTTCACGGGCAGGACCAGTTGCACTCCTTGGTAGGCCTTGAACCCTGTCTCGGTCAGGACCCGTAGTAAGGCAGTGAAGTAAGGATGAGAAGCAGCAGCGAGTGACAGCTCGGCCGTGTCTGGTTCCTGCTGCACACTTGTCTTATTTGTGATATTGCTGAAACATCCCCCCCAAACCGGCCAGGGAAATCCAGTGGTCTGGGGTAGTCAGGGCACCAGTGTGCCAATGAGACGCTGTAGAAGCTATCAAAGAGTAGGTACACTCTTTAAGATCCCCTAAAGCCAGAGCTGATATGTGCTGGAATTAGGTAGCTACCTTCTTCAGGTTTCTATCATGGTGACCTAAATGTGGGGGGTGGCCCTTCACATCTCCATGGACAGCTGATTTCACTAAAGTTCTTCAAATTCTTCAAATCATTTTCTGGAAGTTCTTGACTAATAAATTTAAAACATGGGTTTATTATTTAATGCCAGGTCTGATGCTGGCCAACATCTCAATGGGTCACTATTCCTACATATAAAGCACATTAGTCATGGTCCTTTTGTATGACTCTGAGCTCATTCCATCCTTGATGGCCCATGAAGAACTGTTGCAGGGCTGAAGAAGAGGTCAACAAAAATTCCCAGAGATCTGTGCTCCTTGAGTATAGGAAGCCGGCTTCCTGCTTTGACTACCACGTCTTTTGTCTCTGGAGAAATCTCTTGCTCCATGGGCTGATAGAAATTTCCCAAGGAAGTTCCTGCCAGTTCTCTTCCTTCCCACCAATTTGGCACCTGCTTGGTTCTGCCAATGTGACGGCAAGCTCCTATTCCCAGGCCTCTCTGCTTCAGATACGGCTGCAGCTCCCACTGACCTTGTTTACAATCAAGGAACCCACTTGCTTCATTTTGCTTGGGCTGCTTTGAGATCACAGCTAGAGCTGTTAGCACTGAAGGGGAAGAGTCCCCGTCTATTTGGGGAACATGTCCCCGCTTGTTATCAGTAGCAACTGGGAACCTTCATTCACACCTCTTATCCCATGGCCTGCCTTCCAGCTGGCTTCAGCTGTGTGACTCCTCTGAGCAAGGACCACAGAAACAGACACAGCTCACCGTGGGGTTGACAAAGAGCAAAGGTGGTACACTGACTTTTCAAACATACTTTTGCACCTGTCACATGTGGGGCTGTGGTTAGACACCCCTCCTGGATTCCTGGACTTGGTTCTCCAATACTAAGGTGAAGGTATCTGTAGCTCTTTGTTACCACAATGAAAGGCATGGCACCCCTCGAGCAAACACAGCTGGGGGGGGGGGGACATCATCCTGCAGAAACACTCTTAGCGATCAGTTCTCCAGGTTGCAAACACAAACAGAGGCCCATCTCTCACAGTGGATGCCCGTGCCGTGCTGTAGGGCAGCATTCCCTCCATCCTGCAGCAGGATGATCAGGCAACACCATTCTCTGATGCCCAGAGAATGAATAAGCCTTGGGAAAAGATTCCATGGGGAAGAGTAGCTTTCCCTGAGGGTCTACTTAACTGTTGGGCTTGGGTTCTCTATCAGTAGCCTAAACTGTTGTGTTGATTTGCCCTCCTGAGTGTAGGATTTAAATCTTATGAAAAAGAATATGGCTACCCTGCTAAAGGTTCACCCAACGAAGCGGCTTGACCTACGATAGCTCTTTCTCATTTAAAATAGATGAATCCTAAGTTGTCGAAATTCAGGTGCATTCCCACTTGGAGCAAACTCGCTCCTGTTTTTGTTCATCTAAACCTGCAATTATTGGCATTTGGCATTTAGGCCGGTATTGGGGTAGGAGGGTCAGGCCTAGAGAGACCGCTGCCCCAGTAACAGGGTTCACAGGGAAAGCACACATCAAGATGGCAGCCACGACAGATGGCCAGTGAGTCACACAGCTTGTCTGTCTACACATAACTTTCACCTTTTATTTAATGTTAGGTAATCAGAACACACCTTAAGTCATGAGCAACTTCAAAGTATCTTTTTCCTTTGACTAACATTGAAAATACCCACTTTAGGGGGTCCCTGGGCTGTCAGTCTTCAGGCAAGGCATAAGTAATGACTGTACTCAGGGAACCCTGGGGAAAGATGGGGAGCCTGCTGTAGTTGAGGAGAGCCAGCGAGTCCTCATGGGAGACCCGAGCTCCCCTGAGCATGTCCTTGGCAATGGGGTTGACAGGAAGTGGGCCCCTGTTCTGGTCATCAACTGGCAATGTCAAAATCTCACACAGGCACGGTGGCTAACTAGACGTTCCTCACTCAGATTCCCATGTAAAGATGACACCGTGGGCCAGGACACTGATTCATCTTGAGGGGTGGCAGGAGAAGCCCCAGCTGAAACAGTGCAGTTACTGTGTGATGGACATCCCATGTCTGACCTAGCGCCCACCCACAGGCTAAGGAGAGAGAAAGAAACCCAAGAGATGTCCTGGCAGACAGCAGCCACACAGACTCCTTCCATCAGCAACCAGCAGTAAGAGCGCCTGGTGACGCGGAGTGACACTGAGTATGGGAACTGCCTGAGAATGGCAGAAAACAGAGACGCAGGCATGAGCCAGGGAGCTGCTGGGCGGCCAACAGCTTCTCATTAAGTGTGCCCCTACCTATGGGCACAACCATGAAAGCTGTGCAGCTGGCTAAAGCAAGGTTATCCGAAAAGGAATTCCCAAAAGGGCTGTGAACTGAGGAAAGACCAGTAGATACATGAATCTAGTAGCAGACCCCCAGAAAATCCACCCTAGGGACACATAACAGTGCCCCTTTAGACCCCAGCAGAGCCCAGCAACAAGATGTGTCAACCTTTTTGTGGGAAACAGATGTCTAGGGAAGAGTTTTGGAAATAGAAACATTGGCTGAGTTTTTTTTCCCCTCTAGGGGACTATTTGCTTTTATTCAAAAGCAGCTATTCAAATAACCTTGGCTTCCGTGTGCTAGAGGCAAGCGCTCTAAACCACAGGGGAGGAATTGGTGAGAACTCAATGTGTTAGCCAGCACACTGAACTTCATCCTCTTCAAATGGTAGAAGTGTAAGCACAGAGAACCAGGGTCATTCGGGGTGAGGCTGCTGCTGGAACAAAGTAGCTGGTACATATGTCTGTGCCTTGAGGATCCCTGTGTGTGTACTTGCTGACTGCTACTGTCTCATTCTGAACCACCTCTGAAATAAACACATGGACAGAAGAGACTGCAGCCAGCCCTGTGTGATCTGAAACTCCCAGGCTCTCCTAGCTGGGCTGCTACCCAGGGAAGTGAGCCGCTGCAGCCATTCCGGGATTCACCTACCATCTGCCGTCCTTGCAGAGTGGAGCTCACTGGGTCTGGTCCGTGGAGACAAGTGGAAAAGAGGGAAGCGTGTTCCTCAGATTGACTGTGCTCTCGAGGGTAGAAAGAGCCATGCAGCTGGCAGTGTTGCTCTGGCAGGGTCCTCCCCTCCCTCTTCTTCAGGCTAGAATTCTCCCCATTAAGAACCCTGTCTTTTGGGGCTCCTAACCGCCTCTCTGTGCATATAAGGATGCTCCTGTCTGTATGTCTCTCAGAACCCCCACAGCAGGAAAACCTGGGCATCAATCCAACTGCTCTTCATTCTGGTCATTCTCTCTGGGCCCGGGAAGCCTTTGCTAGGTAAACAACACCAGTCTCATGGTGAAGGAAAGGGAAGTCCAGGCTGGGATACATCTCAGTGGAAGATATCATGCAAGGATCTGGGCCTAATTCCCAGCATACATCAAAAGGGAGGGAGGAAGGCAGAAGAGAGAGAGAGAGAGAGAGAGAGAGAGAGAGAGGAAGAAGGAGAAGGAGAAGGAGAAGAAGAAGAAGAAGAAGAAGAAGAAGAAGAAGAAGAAGAAGAAGAAAGCAGAGGGCTCAGTTCACAAAATGGCTCAGTTCACAAAATGTCCAAAGGGCCTCTGAATTCTCATGCCTTCAGCTTTCCTACACGTACCACCACTATGTTCCAGAAGCAGGAGATAATGTACCAAGGCCAAGGAGTAAGGCCGTGTGGACCAAGCTCTGCGATCAGGATGGGAGATCTAGCCAGGATTCTAAGAAACCTGAAAGCCCCAGAGAGGAGTCAGGGGTAAAGCCAATGTGCTTATCAGGGTTAGGGCCTCCTGTGGCCCACCCAATGAGTGAAAGTCTACACATGCGTACCTACAATACAACCCTGTGGCAATGAAAATATGAAGTGTGTAGCAGTGCACAAGCATGCACACACACACACACACACACACACAGCCTTATGGCAATGAAAATATGAAGTGTGTAGCAGTGCACAAGCATGCACACACACACACACACACACAGCCTTATGGCAATGAAAATATGAAGTGTGTAGCAGTGCACAAGCATGCACACACACACACACACACACACAGCCTTATGGCAATGAAAATATGAAGTGTGTAGCAGTGGTCTTACCTAAGCCACTGAAGCAGTGTTTGAACTGAGATCTGGAGGATAAGCAAGAATAGGGGTGATGTACAGGGGAGAACCTAGAGAAAGACATTCCTTGTTTAGGTGATTAAGACACAGGAATGGAGGGCTGGAGCACCCAGTGGGACTGAAGATGGACTCACAGCAGCTGGAAGACAACAGCCTTGGTCACAAGGAACAGATTTTGATTGTCACCTTCAGAGCAATGGGACTCCTCCGAGGGATCAAGGGTTTCCAGTGACAAGTCTGCTTAAGCATGGAGATGGGCTGGAATGGCGAACAGCGAGGGTGAGCTGAGCAGATGGCATCAGAGCGAAGCAGATGTAAGATGACTGTAGAAAGTGTATGAGCCGGGTGGGGGTGGCGCACGCCTTGAAACCCAGCACTCAGGAGGCAGAAGCAGGCGGATCTCTGTGAGGTCGAGGCCAACCTGGTCTACAAGAGCTAGTTCCAGGCCAGGCTCCAGAGCTACAGAGAAACCCTGTCTTGATAAACAAAAAACAAAGAACAAAAAAAGAAAAGAAAAGAAAAAAAGAAAAAGAAAAAAGAAGAATTAGTGTACGAAGACTAATTTACAGAACTGTCACGTACAGGGTTGAGAGCAATGGTGACCACCCACACACCTGGACTCCCAGATTACCTAGCTTAGCGGCCTTGGAATAGAATCTCCTTTGAGGTAGGGAAGCATGAGTTTAGTTTCGGATCAAACACTCAGAAGCAGGTATTATCAAACATCCATCTAGATCTGCACAGATGAGAGTCCTGGGATTGAAGTCATCAGGGTAGAAGTGGGATTGAAATCGAATCCCCAGAGAAGATTGTCCTAGAAGAAAATAGATATCCCTAGCTGGCTGAGGCACGACCCTAAGAGAGCTCCTGCAGGCATGACACCAGCTGGAGAGAAGATGGGGCTGTGGAGTAAGGTGAAGAGGAATTCACCATACCACACATCACCTTCCAGAACTCTCCAAGATGTTCAAATGGAAAGACCCTTGAGGTACCACCAAGAGAACTGCTGGGATTCCAAGCGGTACTGGACAGGGAGCCCTCGGAAGTCTGGTCAGGAGTAAGCGTCCAGGGCAAATGACTTAAGGTA